GGATCAAAGATTACAACKTCTCCAATAAAAGGAAAAATTGCGAAACCAGGCATAACAGTCACGACTATCACCGGAAGCAAATACAGATTGGGAATGATTGCTCCAAGGGATGCCATCGATTCGGCCTCGGGAAGTAGAGAAACTGCTTCCAAACGCTCTAGTGACCAAATATCTCCCATGGGATCTTTCTTCGGTCGCCTATTCCCCGAAGAAAATATTCCATGTCTTGTGGAATGGACCCAAAACGAAGATGGTACGATAACCGGATTTATTAACAACAAAGAGGGGTTCGAGGATGGTACTCAAATTACCACCTCTCCTGTTCAAAAGGGTGCCAGAAGGGGAATGGTGATCCAAACCAGAGGTGGTAGTAAGTACAAACTCATGAAGCCACAATAGCAAACAAAAAATCTCCTCTATTTTGAGAGGAAAATCTACCTTCTGTTTCTCTTCGACCGAATAGAGTCACGAGTTGAACATCCATTCATGACGACGCCATGTACGTTTTGTGCCCATCATAACGATGAGCAGAGCTGCGAGGCCCCAAAGGAGAGCATTCCCTCTTAAAATATCCAAGAGAAATTTGACCAACATAAAACACTACTTCGTAGTATATATTCAATTTAGACTTTCGGGAAATGACTACTCACAACAMACCCCGGAATATCTCAAATTCGTAGTTCTWGTCAACATTTACTACAATATTTTAATTACTTTACTTCAATTTAATGCGCGCCATTTTATRTCATATCTGTAGCAGGTACCAGTTCGTACATACGAGTACGGACTACGATGCGTACTCTGTACCGTTGCCTCTTCGTGTGAAGATGAAGCACTGGACGGTTCGGTGTTCGGTTGTATCRAATGTACGGTAGTATCGTACGTACGAAGTAGTAATAGTTACCTGGTACCGTAGTGTCATTATTACAGGTATTGTTTCTAGGACTTTCTTGGACTCATTCGAATACATTAATGGCAGTCTTGTCTTGGAACTCTATCGTAGCTAAGTCCTGTGAATGACGTCAGTAGTTATCCAGCGCGCTACTGTACCGTACCGCACTTGATGACTTTTTTCAGCACCACCGTGTTTTCTTCCGAACAGAAAAAAATCAATGCTCGTCACGGAACAACAAAGCAAGGCGTCGTTGGTTACCAATTGAAGGAGCTCTTGAAAGGCAGTATGTTAGTACGTACAATGCCGAAGGCGCGTCTGGGTGACACCACACTCACATATTATTGTGTTTATTTCGCGAGCTGCCTGCTTCTACGAAACTTTTGACCGACAATACAACAGCAGTTGAAACAAAAGTTCATCTCATCATCGATCCTGCAAGAAGCAGCCTTCCTTCCATATTGGAACTCCATTCGTTGTAGTTGGAAGCATCTCTGAAGGAGAGGAAGAGACGCTCGATCCAAGAAACCGATACAATTATGAAGATTTCCACATCGGCACTCGATGCSTTAGCAGCGCTTCTGGCCGTGAGCGCTGTTACGGCATTCGTTCCGGAATACCACAAAACCGATCCAAAGCTGCCCMGAATGCGGGACATGCCATTTTCATCGACGACTTGCTTTGCTACCGAGACTATCGRTCCTGAATCCGAGTCCTCCGTAACATTTCCCTTCAACGACAGACAAGTACGGTTCGCTTACGACGAATGGCGTCTGATTTACAACAAGGGCGACTTTGATTCGGAGCGATTCAAACAGTTCAAAAGGAACCACAGAACTCTTACCATTTCGAATTTAAAAGCACGGGAGAAAGCAGCTCAAGACGGAAGGCCCATGCCCCAGTGGATGAGCCTGAACGAATACGGTGATTATTCAATGGAAGAATACGAGGCAATGATGCGAGGAGAACAGCCAACTGTGAACGGTGAGGCCGGTGCGCCRCAATCTGCCGAGCAGCCTGTCGATGAGAGACAGCAAGCGCAAGGCCGTGCGACAATTCGTGTTCAGGATGATTATGCGAAGAATTACCAGAACGGTCAAGTCCAGGAATACCAAGATCAATTTGGACGGACAATTCGTTCGACTCAAGCTCTCCACCAAAACGATYYAATGACAGAAGTCGATAGCAACTATGCAAACAACATAGAGGGCACAARCGAGTCGCCTTCCTCATCCGAAAAAAGGGGAACTCTGATAATTCCAAAAGAAGCCGGTGGAGTCRGTGAGAGAGGGACACAGGTAATTGGCCAAAGAGGAACGCAAGCAATTGGTCAAAGAGGAACACAAGTAATCGGTCAACAAGGAACGCAAGCGATTGG